AAATTCATTTGTGAACTAACTTTTGTCAAAAATCATGACTGCAAATGATGGGTTCGATTGGTGAGATTATTACATTTTCTTTTATTACGTCAAGATGACGAGGGTAAAAGCTGATTCTGTGTGTATGTATATATTTATCAGTTTCTTTATTCATCTAACCCTATTATCATCATCATTCGCCATCACGTCATCGCGTCAAGTGTTACATTATTATTATTATTATTTTTGTTGTTATTATTATTATTATTATAAAAACAAAATGGGCCATTCAATGTCTACCAATAATTTAATGCATACCGTACTCGTGTATATAAAATAGCTATTCAATATATAAAACCATATAATTTTCTATTTCTAACAAATAATAAAATTTTGTACCTCTACTTTAATAATTTTTAAATATATATATATGTAAAATAGCTAAATTGGTTGGAAAAAATCATGAACATTAATCTTATCAGTTATTTGATGTATTAATTAAAATAAAAATATTTAACCATACTAAGTGTTAAATGAGATTTTATATTTATATATATTTTTTATAGGAAAATTATGAACTTGAATCAACCTTTGCCTTGTATCTATATACTTTCTAAAAGTTTGATTATATAATATATTGTTAGAACTTTAATTATATCATTATTAAAGTGTAAAAAAAAAGAAGGTAGGAAGATAGACTGGCGATGAATTGATACTAACCCGTCAAGCAAATGCAAGTGAGCCTCCAAATTATGCGCACAGATCGGATCAGCCGTCGGCTTCAGAAACGGAGAATGCTTATGATCCAACACCAACTCCACTCCCACATGCGAATAACTCCACGGCAATCCTTCCACCATCTTCATCATCATCGCCGGCACCTGCTCGTTAAAAAGCAAACCTGGAGATTTCGGCACCACATCATGCACATTCACCACTCTCAGCACCTTCACCCCTAACCCCTCCATCCTCTCCTTGAAACGAACGTTACCCACCCGAGGACCCGAGAACGAAATCACCGACACCGGCACCTCCCGGCTGTTTCCTCTCACGTTTATCCCTGTTTCAACTATGTCGTACGCGCTCAATATAGCCAGAGCACTCCCCAGACTGTGACCCGTGATGGTGATGCTCAGTTCCTCATCTGGGTAAGCTTCAACTAATCTTCTCACTTCCGTCAATATCTGTTCCCTCGCCGAGAATTTACAGAACCGGCAGGCTTCGTCTTTATCCGTGTAGAGATCCACGAACCCGGATTCGACTTTTACAGTCGGGTCGGGACAGGGATTTTGTTTGAAGAGATGGGTTTTAAGGAAATCCATCAAGTCGGCGATCCATTCGAGTCGGGTCACGGTGCCTCTCC